TAATAAAAGGTTCGTTGAAGCAGGAGTGGAATGAATAACACTATTGATGACCAAGTTTCTTTTAAAGGGAGTCACGAAACGCCGCACAGCCATCAATAAAGCACGTGTCTATTTCCTGATGCAGAGCTGTTCTTTTTCTTTTTTTAATCTATTGCAGCTTGAAAGGTAATCTGCTCTGCTGGGATGATAGATTATGCCTTTAATCTTCAAGTAAAAGCTTTCATCGCCCCCAGTGTGAAGCACGGTGGTAGCTGCTTCATGATTTTTTTGCTAAATTTGTCTGGATTTAATTATGAAGCTCAACCTTTTAGCTCACGGTCAGAAAAGAAATAAGCTTTAGTTTTCAAACAAAGAGAACATATTTCCTCCTTTTTACTTTATCAGTTATTTATCTAACAGGGAACATTTTAAGATTTTTGGGTGTAAAACTTTTTTTAGTTAATCTCGGTCAGACTTTGGAGGAACCTTTCAGTTTAGAGCACAAATGTTTAATTTTAAATAAAGTGAAGGCTCTCGAATGCGCCCAGACTTCCTTCTTAGATATTCTACAGACTGGAAGCAACTTTAAGTAATTGTTTGAATGCTGTACAGCTTTGAAACTATAGTGATCCTGTTTCTCTTTATAGTTATTGGTCGGTTTATTATAATTCTGCTTCCGTACGTTATTTGGCATTTAATAACTTCCATAATTCTTCAACTATTTACACAATTGTTGGTATCAAAACGTTCAGCTCGTTCAGCTTATGCCGGCAATGACTTTTGGTATTTAAATATTTTATACTTTTTGAGATATTCAGCTTTTTCTGCGATTTTTGGTCCCATTGAAATGAATGGGATTGCTCAATTTTCAGCTAAATCCTATCACTTATTTGAACTCTTATAGGTTAACTTTAACCTAGAGACCTCATTCAAGTTTCAACAAACTCACAAGACTTTCAGCTATTACTGGTTAACAAATCTTTTACATATCTGTTACAGTTTTTCTAATATCACAGGTAGAAGTTGAGGTACGGCTCAAGATTTTCAGAAAAAATCTCAAAAATTATAATGGGCAGAGATAGGAGCAATGACCCTCCTTTGCTCCATTTCTGACATTGTCCTGAGAAAACCGTAAGTCCGATTGAAATAATACACACGCTGGCTTGCAGCTAACGGATATCCCTTCGTTTTGAGCTATAAATCATGAATGTACTCCAAACATTGTGGTCGTACGGTTCATATATTTTGAGAATATTTAAATTAAAAAAAAATGTCTCTCACCAATCTAAACTGAAAATTCCGCACTCTAACTTTTGACCTTCACATTTTCTGGAAACAAATCTTTCCAACACCCAGACCGTTTGGAGTACCGAAACAAATTATATCTCAAAAAGTAGGGGTTTTTATCAGCTTTTCAGAATGGGTTTCATTTTATCTGTAAGTGTTAGTTATTTCTCTACAAGTCTCAAAAGGAGGAGAGACCCTGATTTTGTCTCATTGAAACCCATGTTAAAGGAACAGAGATGTTCTCCTCCGATCGGCTTCAGACAGCTAAAATGTTCTCGTCATAGCTTCTAGCCAAGTCATGGTAGGAACATAAAAATTCACACAGGTGACCATCAAAGCCTTCTGCCGCTCACACTTTTTGAATTTTTCAAATCGGTGCAGTACTTTTCGAATGGTGATGAGAAGATTGACAGGTCCAAATTCACTTCTGAAGGACAGATTTAAAGGCTTCTCTCATTAACACGAAGGAGTAGTGTTGCCAACTGTTTTCGACTGAAAGTAGCTGAAGTTCCCCCCAAAAGTTGCTAGATGTCACCAGATGATGTCACGTGCTAATATGCATATGACACAATGACGTCACCTGGTTTGCGTGATGACGTCACCACGTTTGCGTCATGACGTCACCGGTCTTGTAGAGTAAATTCAAATAAATCCTGCATGATTTTATTTAAAAAATTATTTTTTTATTTTTTAATATTTTATTAAAATAAAAAACCCATAGAATACAAAACAGCAGCCTTTAAAACATCAATTAAAGATGGCACATGAAAATGGAAGGAATATTTCTGTTTTGTCTGAAGAGAATGGAATTCGTGAACACAAAAATATTAAATTGATAGGAATGTATGTATGATTGAATTAAAATGAATTTTCTCTTGTAGTTTTCAAGTGCCTTGAGATGTATTCTTCTGTTGTGATTCAGTGCTATATATTGACCTAAAAGATAATAAATATATATATTTTTGTTTGGTTTTGTTGTTTTTAGTACTTTTGTGTAAAAAGAAGCAGGCCGTATTTAGTATTCAGAAACGTTACATGCAAACTGCCAATGACCTGAGGTACTACAGTATTTCAGTATTATTCTGTTTTTTATAAAAGTTTTAAATGTGCTACATTATTGAAGTCATCATAGAGTCCCAATGTTCCTTGAATGCACCACAAGTGGTGCGAGAAGCCATGGGTGAGTGCGACGCTGCCAGCCAATGCCAGCCGAGCTCAGCTGCCGAAATGCGGCAGGATGGCGGAAGGAGCAGTTGCTCTTTATGTAGCTCAGGTGGCCATCTCAAATAATGGACTTGTGAAAACCCACAAAAGGTTTTATTGGTCAACGGGGGTAGAGTGATCATGCTGCATACACATGCGCAGATCATTTTTCTTTCTGATCCTCTGGAAGGAAGGACGGTCCTGTCGCTTCAGATGCATCTCTAATCTGCAGGTAAAGTCGGCTACAAAGTTGTAGTCAAAGTAGCTGAGGGGGGTCAGAAATGTCGCCAGATTTGTCGCTAGGCACTTTTTTTTTTAAGTCGTTAAGGGGGTCTGAAAAGTTGTTAGAAATGGTGACAAAATCGCTAAGTTGGCAACACTGGGAAGAAGTACAGCTGCAGGCCTCCAACAGCCGGGGGAAAAGGCGGGAAAACAGTGCTGCTCTCTGATTGGTTGAGAATGTTCAACCATTTTCTGTCCAAGCAGGATCGAGCACCCACAATTATGACACATCAAATCGACCAGCTTGGTCTCAGGAATCTTGTATTCAATTTTAAATTTGTCATCTGTTACCATGATAACACAAGTGCATAAGTATATCCCCAAACAAGTCTTATTGAAATAAATGTGAAAAGCCTAATATTGAGCCTATAACATACTGCTATTTCTTATCTTTCTGAGCTCTATACACTTAAAACTAGCAGCATAGCTGACATTTTAACACTAGTCAGAACCGCCCCCTTCTCCTTCGCTGCTCTCTCATTAGCTGAGAGTTTTCAATCGTCTTCTGCCTAAAAGGAAATATGCACCCACACATATGATACATCAATTCAACCTGCTTGGTCCCAGGAGTCTTGTATTAACTTGATATTGTGTTCTGCGTTACCATGGCAATGTGCTTAGCAACAACATTTAACAACATTTTAGACACAACTGTATCAACATACTTTAATATAGAAATGTTATTCAAAGTTTAAATGAGCCATGTGACATTGTACATTGTTTTGTTAATGCAGACTCCTGTCATCTGTTACCATGGCAACACAAGGAACTACAAATCACTTTGACCAAGTCTCATAGGAATGAATATAAAAAGCTGAATATTGAGCCATTAACAGACTTCTGTTTTTGATCTTTTTGAACTATCTGTATTTAAAACTAGAAACAAGTTCAATTTGATTGACCGTCAGAAGGTGGGAAAGTGCCCCGCTCCCTCCCAGCTCCCTGATTGGTTGAGAGAGGTCAATCATCTTCTGGCTAAATGGACTTACTCACCCACACATGAGATACATGAAATCGATCGGCTTGGCCTAAGGAATCCATCCATCCACATATAAATCCATATATGCTACTATTCACCCATCCATCCACCCATCCATCCATCTATCTATCCATCCATCCAATAAACCATCTAACATCCATCCACCAATCTATCCGTCATGTCATTCATCCATCCCATATCAAGTCTGAACATTTGTTAATCTATCAGTTTCATATATCAGCAAATATTTCTAAATTCATAGTTCAGCCAATTGTAACAATGTACCCATTAAACTATTCTCATTCAAATGCCAGCTGTTCAACATTTCAAATTTTGAGTTTTGAATCGATGTTCAAAGATTAAAGTTTTCTGCTTTTTAGCATTTTTTGTCCATTCTTCACCTATATTCTGAGCTTTATTACACTTGTTGGTGATTTTTGCTTCTAAATGTTTAAATACATTCGGTTCATTTTGGCAGTTTAGCTTAGTTTAAGCTTCACTTCAGCTGTTCAGCAGCTTCAGGAATCAGTTTCTGAATTCAGCATATGATGCTGATTTCACAGTTCAGCTAAATGTAAAAATTAAACCGTTAAACTAGTCCTACTGAAATAACAGATGTTTAGACACTGTAGCTGTCCAGATTTTTATACAATGTTCACAGATTTCAGTTTTTTGCTTTTTAGGATTATTTTTCACCCATTCTTCACTTACTTTTTGTGCTTTATTTGCTCATTAGTGGTTTTTGCTTCTACATCTTTCAACACATTCAGCTCATTTTGACAGTTTTGCGTACTTTCAGCTTCAGTTCAGCTATTAAGCTGATTCAGCTAACAGTTTAAGCTATCCAGCATTCAAACAGCATTTCTGCAAGAAATGCAATTTACCTAGTTCATATCTGAGTCGGTTGGATATTTGGGGATGTCTGCTGAAAGACGTGGCCTTAAAGGTGACATCTGACTCTGATGTTTCCACTAACAAACAGGAAAATCACAGACTTTGTGTTTGGAGATGAACCGTCCCTTTAAAAATGAGCTGTTTGAAGGTTTAAATGCCATGTGTGTGTGTGTGTGTGTGTGTGTGTGTGTGTGTGCGTGCGTGCGTGCGTGCGTGCGTGCGTGCGTGTGTGTGTGTGTGTGTGTGTGTGTGTGTGTGTGCGTGTGTGTGTGTGTGTGTGTGTTTAAATGCCACCACAGGTACGGAGGCTCCTTCTGAACTCCACATGAAGGCGCTGATGGCTTCTGACAGCATTTTTTTGTCTCTCTTCCTGCAGATCGACGCTGAGAGGTCACCGAATGAAGTGTTCGCCCAGATCTGCCAAGCCATGGAGTCCTCTTCCTCTTTCTGATTCCCAACATTGACCCCATCTGAGTTCCAGCAGGCCCACCTATGAAGACCCTCCTTCACATAACCTCACACCTTCACCAGCTTATTGAACTCTAGTGGTTTGCATGTCTTACCTGCATTCAGTGAAAGCCTCCCTCTCATGTTGCTTCTCCCACATGCCTCCTCCTCCTCTCACATTAACCTCAGTTTTCGCTGCTAGCTGCCGGACCGAGGCTCATAACTGTACAGAGGAAGCAGACCTCTCTGCTGTGACTGAGAGCATGCTGAATGTTCCACCATGCTAAAAACAAGGTGGCAATGTCAGTGTGTGTTCACTCGTGTGCTCAGCACTATGCTTCATATTGTAACAAGCATGCAAGACTTAACAGTTCAGCTTAAAACTGCCTTTTGCTCATTTGGCGAAAAGCTTTGGGCCAGTTCAGGATTACTGCATTTGTATGTTTACAAGCTCATCGTACCGGTTCCTGTTTGAGTCTGGTATTAAACATTCAATAAAGCCAGTGGTTTGTTTTAACAAGAGCCTTCCTGAGTCTTGTTTGGTGTGGAAGGTTGTGGGACGGATGATCTGACAGCCTCATCTGCTGGTGAGAAGATCACTAATCATCCGGAAGTAAAGGGAGTTTCCAGCTGCTTAGTGCTAAAACACAGACTCAGAACCAGTTTGAAGGCTTTCAAGACAGCATGAAGAAATTAGGAGAGGTTTAAATATTTTACACAGTCCTGCAGAACAGATTTAGGATAGCCTAGAGTTCGGATGTATTTAACATTTGAGTCAGCTGCTGACGACCACAGCAAGAAAACAGCAAGCAATTTAGGCAACACCTTGTAAATAATAATGATGAGAATTATATTAACATAAAAATAAAGGTATGGGATGATTAGTTAGAGTATCACTTAAAACAATCTAATTTGGATTTTAAAAATCTGGTTAAGTCAAGTCAATTTTATTTATGCAGCACTTTAAAACAGCATAAAAGCTGACCAAAGTGCATAACAAGCCAAAACGAACAGAAGTTTCCTAAAACACTGAAAATAAGTTAATCAAAAAGCAAAGACATGACAAAAACAAACATATAAAAGTGACATAAAAGCTACTAAAACAGATGCATTCTCAAACTGAATTAAAAGCAACTGAGAACAGATGAGTGTTTAAAACCCGACAGTGAAGAAACCATCCTAATCTGGATTGGGAGTGCATTCCACAACCTACTGAGAAGGCTCCATCACCCCTGAGCTTTCTCTTCGTTCTCGGCACCTCCAGGAGAAACTGGTCAGCTGCTGACCTCAGTGACCGAGACGGGGAGTGAGCTACTAGAAGTTCGCACACATACTGCAGAGCAAGGCCATGTACAGCTTTAAAAGCCAATAAAAGAACCTTGTACTGGACCCTAAAAATCGACAAGCAGCCAGTGCAGCGAAGCTAAAATTGGGGTGATGTGCTCCCTTTTTCTCAGCTTCATCAAATACATCAAATCTTTCTGTGTTTAAGGTAATAATATCTAATGCTGTAGGTAAACTTTAAATGTTTAACCCAAAAGAATCTGACTAAATATCTAAACACTAAAAAATAAGTATAATTTTTTAGACAAAGCCTAATGCTAAAATGTAAATTATAATAAAACAAGCAAAGATGTAAAAACATTTTTCACATACTTTTATTTCCACAGCTCTCCTCTAGCATTTATTTATTTTACATTATATTTTTACATAAGAACAGACTGTTATACACAGATACTGAAGCAGGGAAAAGGGGGTGAAGGAAAGAGACAAAAACCATATAAAATGGTGTCTACTCAAGCACAACAAAATCTATGTATATAAAACTGTGTGGGTCGTTCCACTGCGGAGGCACCAGCCACTACCTTAATTATTCAGGTTTTAAATAGATTAATAAAAATACAATCTTTTAAATGGACCTTTAAAAGAGGGTTGCAAAATGAAAGATCAAGATGATGGGATCAAGAACAAAGAGAGTGGGTCAACGGAGCCAAAGAAGTGGTCGGGTTCGAGGTCTCCTGCCGAAACAAACCAAACAGTTGTCTTTTTTTGTTTTTGTGTGTGTTTTATTTTAATGACACACAGCAACTAGCGGTGGCTACTTTTCACTTTTCCACAATACACTTGAACACTCAACATGATCAACAACAGCACACGACGGGGAGAGGAAAGGAAATAAAGAAATGGAGAACACAACTTTGTTTTTCCACCCGTTGTCGTTCTGCCTTCAAAGGAAAAGTTTCTCTCTGTGTTGTAGTGCTTCCATGGTTTTGTGGGAAAAGCAACAGAAACGGGTGTGTGTGTGTGTGTGTGTGCGGGTGTGTGTGTTGGGGGTGGGGGGGGAGCTGCGGTGTGTGACAGTGACATGTTGACGTGGTCAGTCTGCAGAACGGACTGGGATTTCATACGCTGAAGCAGCCAGTGACTCATAAATACTCCATCTAAAATACTTTTCACTCTTGCATAAAACGGAGACTACACACACACACACACACACATTGAAACCACCAAACAGATGAGCTTGGTCTCTCCACTAGATGGCGCTTCACCGGATTAATCTAGTCCAGTGGGGGTGGGGCGACTCTCCTGGAGTCACGGAGCTCAGGAATGTTGTGTGCCTTCTGTTTCCTGCTCTTGTTTTAAAAATAGTGTAATTTTTCTAATCACCGTTGAATACCCTGGCTGAGGTGTTTCTGGCCACTCGTTTTTCTTTTTTTTAACATGACCCTCCTTTGCTCAAGTCAGAATTGTCCGTTACCAACAGCCCCCCTCCCACCAGCTGCTCCAAGGCCCACGGCTGGCTGGCTGAGTGCCTGCTGGCCTGCCTGCCTGATGGTCAGTTAGGCGGATCTCTTGGAGGATGGAGCCGTGCACAGAGTGGCCTGTGGGAAATGTGGAGAGAGAGCTTTGAGCTAGGGGCGCCTGGGACCCTGTCATCTGTTGGCTGGGAAGTAGTTAGGGTCCAGGTAGTTGTAGCCTGTGCCAGTGCTCGGCAGGCAGTAGTCCCTGTCCAGAAAGGTGTCTGGCTGATACACCGGCTCCAGGTGGTGGTTCGGTTTGTGGGTCTCCGTCTTCAACAGGCTGGAAGACGAGGAGGGAGACAAGCATGAGACCATCGCTGTGTTAGTGTAATTATGACGGACTACATCTGCAGCCAGACACGGTCAGAGAGATTTGTTAAAATACAAAAATATCTTAACTTCAGAGCCTCCTCTGCTTCCTCACAAAGCCGTAAAAAACAACTCGCACTGATAGGCCGTTTCTCTCAATGCATACTCGTCTGAACTCGTGACGTCATCAACGCCAGCCCAAGCACTGTTCCAATCCTAATTACGCATCATGGCAAGTTCACTCAAAGTTCCCTGAGGTGTTCTTGCTCGGCCCATTGTATCGGGAATGCACTGATGCATCCTTCAGACTTGGAACAGCAAAGTATCCCATAATGCACTGCTTATCGAGAAAGCTCATATCTGTAGTTTTTATATCAGAAATTCTAATTAAAAAAAAAGTTGTCTGTTACTGTAAATAATTGTGTGTAACCTATAAAATGTCCTGTGTGTGTTCTCGCCTCTGATTGGCTAACATCAACGCAACTCTACCACTGACTGTTTGCTCTGCAACGTTGATGTTTTATCTCCAACAATAACACAAGCCTGAAGGACTTCTGCTGTGTGGTGGAGTCACTAATGCTAACGGTTAGCTTCTACTAGCAGAAACGTTCTCTGCAGTTTCCTGGACACTGAACCAACAACAGCCTTTTCCGTCACAAGTAAAGATGGGTGAGTCCATAAATGTGACGTCGATCTGTCAACTATTTTCATGTTTAGCCTGTGTTAAACTCAGTTACTGATCATTTTCAAATAAATAAGTGAAATATGGTTTCTCTGTGAACCTGCTCTTTAAAAACAGCTCAGATGGTCACCAGGTTTGGATGGAAGTTGCTGATCTTTAATGATCCACTAATATTGAAGGAGCTCACCAGTCTGAGCAGTTGGAGCAGAAATCGACAGCGTTCTCCGGCGGACAATCCTGACAGTGCCAGCGGACTCCCTGGATGGGCTCGGTGCCGCACAGATCACACTGCAACAAAACAAGAAAACAAAGAAATCAAACCTCCGCAAGACAAAACACAGATTATAGACAGATTTCTAGGGAATCACCTGTCCTCATTTATCTGAATGTGTGTGTGCATGCGTGTGTGAAGTCGTATTCCTACGGAGGGGTTTCCTGGTGCCCAGTTTTTTGACCTGTGGGATAAAACCCACTCGTGCATGATGGGAAAATCCTGTGCAGCAAAGCTGAATTTGAACCTGCATCCGTGCTACAGTGCAGACATGCAGATAAATCTTTAAACTTACCATCGCTTAATAAAAAACGACACAATCAGATCAGCATTTGAACTTGTCCTTCCTAACTGACATGTGTTGTCATGGTGACATGCAGAGGCTTCACCTTGTAGCCAACGTGCTGGACCTCGTCCTTTTCCTCGTGGATCTCCTGTAGTTTCTGTTTTTTCAACCGCTTCAGCTCTAAAAGCTCTTTGTACTCGGGCAGGTTCCTCAGCTCCACAGGAATGCTTTCCTCATCCTGAGTTAGCAGGAAGACAGAAAAAAAACAGAAACAGGGAGTCAGGGAGGTGACTGACAGGCATTAAGCTAAAAAAAATAAATCAACACATGTCAACACGAAACTCAGGGCCAAATATGTTCTCTTTTTGTTGATAAATCTGCACCAGGATGCGTCTTTGCAGCAAAAACAGCATCACATTCCTGTTTTTAGATGCAGGGCTGCACCAGATTGTCCTTCAGCATGCAAGAGAAAATCTGGGTGTCCTTCACAGTGTGACTGATTGCTACATCTGACCTAAATCTGCCTCCTCCTCGTCATGCAGAAAACAAAGAAAGAGGACAAAAATGCAAATTAAACCCATCAAATTGCACAGGACTTGTGAGCCAAATTAAAGCACAACCTGACGGGGTGAGTGTCTCTGTGGCACAAACACCTTGGTGATTTTTCTCTGTGCTAGTGATGTAAGAGGATTCTGCTAACAGGTTGACGGAGAAAAACCATCTGTGTTCTCGGCAGGGTGGCGGTAACCAGATTCACTCAAAGGTCACTGCCATCAAAGAAATGTCAAAGCTTTGATAACGGCGAGTTTCAGGAGCTGCAAAGCAACAAAGGCTCTGACTTTAAAAAATCACACTAACATGACTGGAGTTAGAATGAAGACGAGTTAATTATTTAAACGGATTGAGGAACAAAAGTAGCGATGACGTCCTGTAGCGCCACTGCTGCTTGTAGCTTTGATCAGTCGTCATCGCAAAGGTCACTGCTATCATGAGAAAGGACACGAGGGCGTGTGATTAGCTAATTAAAGCACATCTA